CAACAACAACATCAACATCATCAACAACAACATCAACATCATCAACAACAACATCAACATCAACATCAACAACAACATCAACATCATCAACAACAACATCAACATCATCAACAACAACATCAACATCAACATCAACATCAACATCAACATCAACATCAACATCAACATCAACAAAAAAAAAAAACAAATCCTGATCGGCATCATCAACCATGCAAGGAAGATCAACATCAATGACAGCATGACTACCATCGCATCCGTCCCATCCAGCAGCTGCACAGAGCTTGCTTCACTGTCCATGCTCCATGCGGACGCACTTCCATCATCGGAACCGTTCTGTATATTAGCACGATTCGGATTAGCGGAATGATCCAGCAACAGCTGTAAGCTATCACATCAGCGTCAGGAAGAGTCGATCCTGGACATGTCTTGGAGTTCTGACTGCTGAAAGCATCGGGTCAGTTTGAATCCCACGGCTTTCTTCCCCCTCCTCTCAAGACCACGACCTACCACCACCACCTCCTGCTCCTGCTCTTGCTCCTGCTCCTGCTCCTGCTCCTGCTCCCGCTCCTGCTCCTGCTCCTGCTCCTGCTCCTGCTCCTGCTCCTGCTCCTGCACCTGCACCTGCTCCTGCTCCTTCCTCCTCCTCCTTCTCCTCCTGTTTCTTACTTGCTTCCACGAGCAAGGAAGAGCATGTCGAGGCTTCGAGGCGCCTGCATTTCAAATACTAAGTCGGACATCACGCGGTCAGTCTGGGCGAACTTGTTCCGAGCTCTCTGACGCTGTTCCTTTTGAGCTCGCGACGGGGTTCAAAGAGATGTGTGAAATAGCTTCCACGACCTGACAGGAGAGAAAGGACAAGTTAACATGAGGAGAAGTTCCTCGACAGGTAGAAGTGCGAAACAGAGGACAGGTAGAACGAAGAAGATGGAGGCAAGACAACAGGTGAGGGCAAGACAGACAAGGTCTTCTTAAGGGATGACGAGATCTTTGCCGATGCTGCTTCTTCACCTTAGATTGAATCAAGCTTCCCAACGCCATTGCCTCCCCCAGGAATTCGCTCCTCGTGCTGCGAGTAAAGGAATGTCAAGAGTTCACTGCAAGAGGAGCTCAACGAGGAGAACAGAGTGAAGTCTCAGACAGCCGCACAAACCAGCGATCATGATCCACATCTCACGTCGTACCTGTCAGTGGACCCAGGCACCTTCGACCCTGCTGCCGCCGATGTTCCTGCTGCACCTGCTGCTGCTGCACCTGCTGCTGCTGCTGTCGACGTTATTGTTGTCACTCCTGCTGCTGCTGCTGATTGCTGGGAGCCTCCATTGTAATGACTCGACTGCTTGAAACGCACATCACTAGTCATCGATCAGGATTACGCAGCATCAACCTTGTAGGCTGCTCCAGCCTCAGCCCCACTCCCTTCACCCCTTGCGGGCTGCCCCAGCCCCCTACACAGCAAGACATGTCAGTCGCTTCTCCTGCCTTCCCGCTCCTACCTGGCGGGGGTCTTGATGTTGACAACTGATGAAGACATGAAGAACAAGTCTTGTTATGAGCCCCTTCTTCCGCCTTTATGTTTTGCAAACGCTGTGAAATGCCACCACCCCGTGGCCTTCATGGCAGTGTTTGCTGTGACATCGAGTCAGTCAGAGAGTCTGATCAGACAGATCCTATGACTTGTGTAGGATTTGCCGATTGAATGGAACATAGATCAAAACATTGTCATGCAAAGATTGAGGCGGCTCCAACACAGTGTTACACTACCAAGTTGCTTAGCGACAACATAACATACAACCTCTTCACATCGTTGAGTTGAGCAGATGGGTTTCGTTCACGCCATGACAAGTCAAAAGGCAACATGACAAGAAAGAGCTAGCTACAAGGCCAGGAACAAATTTACTTTCAAAGCAGCGGTATGCTGTGCTTTGATACCAACACAGTGACATTCAAACATATTTTTTCACAGGAAGTCTTGATGATATCTAGATACAAGCTCGTCCCCTACACTCCTCGCATCTTCATCTACCTCATCCCCTCTCTCTACCATTCCTGCCCCGACGGCTCCGCCGCCCAAAAAGTCCATTTGCTGTGCCGGTTCAACTAGTAGCAATATAAAATCATGTATATCTGTATAAGAACATTTAAGCAAAATAAAAACAAAAAGTTGACAACTTGATAGAAGAAGCTTAAAATGCGTAACTCAAAATAAGTACCATCCATTTGATCCTCATCGGACAATAAAGAGGTTTTTACAAAAATATTGGTATGATCAAAAACACTTATATTAATTGGTACACCCTTGATTTTAAAGGTAAAACACAAAAACACAATTTTAAAGATGTTCTACCAGATGCTACAGATATGCCCAGTACACTGAATAAAATCTTTGTACAAATCAAGAAATATATCTCAAAATGATAAAACTTATTTTAACTTGTATAGAAATATTATAAGTAATTTATGTGTAAAACTCCTTGCGGTACAGGCAGTGCCAAGAAGTCTCTTTCACTCTCGATAGTCTCTCCGGCTCGGGCCCGACTGCCAAGCCCGGCGAACCAAGGCACCAAAATTCTTGCTAGTAAAATGTAGAACAAATTGTGCTGTCCTTTTTCAATTTATAGAATTGTACTGGGGCAAGCCCATAATTCTACCCCTGCATGGCAGCCCCACCTACCTTGCCCCCCTTCCAATCTTGTTGTAGCCGTGGCAGGGATGAGAGGAGGAGGAGAAAGTGAGAAGAGTACGACTAAGAGGTCTAGCTCCCTGTCTCCACCACCTGGCTCTCCTGCCTTTCCCACCTGCCCTGTATCCTCTCTTGCTCGGTTGCCCTGATCGCTCTTCGTTCACAGCCTTGTACCTGCCTCTCAAGGTATTTCAGGTTGCATGGAGACGTGAAGACAGTTCAAGGGAGAGCCTGGAAGGATCTTCTAGACACAAGACGTAGGTTACATTATGGACAGCTGTCTCTACCCCGCCGCTCCCCCTGCGCACACTACTCTCGCCTGCTGTCTCTTGTGAACCACTACTGATGATGCTGGTAGCAGGCCATGACGGAGCGGGCGGTGATAGACTTGAAGCCGGAGGATCTTGTTCAGGACGCCGACGCCTCCGTGCTATCAACGATCCAGTATCCTCACAAGTTTGAGCTGGCAGCTAAGGTTGGTGCTCATGGTAGTCTCACGGCGGAGGAGCGAGTGACCCTTGAGCGTTCAGTTCTACGAGCGCTCCTCCGATGTCCTGACGTCCCTGCATGTGGACGACCAGCTCCTTCTCTACAGCTTGCATCAGCAAGCAAGTGTTGGACCCTGCAATACCCCCAGCCCGCACCTGGTACCTCCCTGTCTGTCATGGTCTTTCCTGCTCCTGCTCCTGCCCCCTCTACCTCTACCTCTCCCTCTCCCTCACCACCACCACCATCACCATCTCCTCCTCCTCTTCCTCCTCCTCTTCCTCCTCCTCCTCCTCCTCCTCCTCCTCCTCCTCCTCCTCCTCCTCACGTGGTACGATCCGCCATGTTTTGCCCTCTGATTTTCTATCGTCTCAGTGGAATCGAGTCGAACGAGCTAAATGGGACGTCTGGAAGCAGTTGGGGCAGGTGAAGCAATGCTATGCTCTGTAGCACCTGATTGTCACTTGTCCATCTCAATATTTCCGCTCGACCTGCCATTTTTCCGTCCTTGTCCTCTTGCCTTCATGCCGTTCTTGCTCCTCCTCCCCCTCCTGTGCTACCTCTCCTGATGACCTCCCTCCTCATCCTGCTCCTCCTCTTCCACCCTCTGTGCTACTTCTCCTCCTCCTCCTCCTCATCCTCCTCCTCCTCCTCCACTTCGTGCTCTACAGACCAGCAAGATGGAGGCAATGTTTCTCTTCGTGCGAACTCTCGAGGAGGTTTGTCCCAAGTGGCTGATGTGGAAAGGGATACAAGCGGAAGTGAAAGCGGCACTCGACGGCGAGGGAGGGGAGCAGGCGGCGGATGCGCTACAGTCGCCATCCAGCAGGAGAATGGAGGCGATCCCTCGTCCTGAAGGAGAGCTCACGGCTTACCGGACGTGGATAGGGGGGCTGACCACTGGGACTCCTCCCTCCCCCAGATACCAGGTTTGCTCTCTCCTCCTCCTTACCTGGGATCCCTCTTCATCCATGCCTTCCTCTCCCTCCTTCCTCCTTCCTCCTTCCTCCTTCCTCCCCATCTTTCGTGCCCTTCCCCCAGCTGAAGTAACCATCATCCTTGGCAGCACTCCTGTACCGTCGTCGGCAAGTACATGATTGTCTTTGGAGGGCACGGGACTTGCTTCTTGGCCGACACACACGTCCTCGACCTTGAGAGCATGACCTGGATGTCCTATGACGTCGAAAACTCTCCAAGCCCGCGAGCAGGGCATAGCGCGACGCTCCTCGACGAGGAGCATGGTAGGAAGGCAGCTACCTCGCTCAATCTCCCATCATGCTCTACTCTTCCTCCGTCCTTCGCCTTCCATCCCTTCCGGCACCCTGCAATGTCTCCTATCCCTCCCACATTGCTCGCTCTACTGTCTCGCTATCTGTTTGCTTCAGCGTTCGTCTGATATCGAGGATACAGTGCTTGTTCTTGGCGGTCATGGAGGCAACGGGAAGTTCAATGAGATTCACATCCTGCAAGTGGAGCATGGGATCAACACGATGCTCAAGAAGTCGGAGAGACCGATCCTCACCTGGACGAGGCAGGAGATTTCAGGTGCGAGGAGGGAGGCCGTGGGACGAGACCATCAAGGGATAAGTTGAGGAGGAGGATGAGGAGGAGCAAGAAGGAGAGGAGGTGGGGGCCTAGTAGGGATGCAAGTGATGACAGAAGGGGTGAAGATGGGAGGCAGGAGGGCGGGAAGAGAAGAGCTGACTGAGTGCATGCTCAGGTCCTTACCCGATTAACCGAGGAAGCCACTGTGCAGCAGAGCACCAGGGTAGCGTCTACTTGTTTGGAGGAGAGTCGGACGAGCGAGAGTGTCTGGATGACTTCTGGCGCCTCGACCTCGCCCAGCAGACATGGTGGAGTAGAGGAGGACGGGGGTTTGCCGTGCTGATTGATACTCTGAAGGGAAAGATGTCCTATCGAGGGCTGCCCTTCCAAGAGGATGGACGCGAGTATGGTCCGTGCTGCTCCTTTCCTCCTGCATGCGGCCATGACCGTTGAGCGCAGGTGAGGATCGGAAACCATCTCGTCGTCTTCGGGGGAGCGAACGCGCAGACGCAGCTTGCGGATGTGTTTGTCTTCGACGTTCCTGACAAGAGGTGGAGAAAGGTTTCTCCCATCGAGGGTCCTCCTCCTGAGCCTCGTGCTGGACATGCCTGCGTCCTACACGGAGGAAGGTAAGAGACCAAGAGCTGGGAGTGAGAGGAAGCTGCTGCAAGGTCTGAGGGTAGGAGGTGAAGGAGACAAGAGGAGAGAGCGGGAAGCAGTCAGAAGGGCGATGGACTAGGATGAGGAGGAGGAGGAGGAGGGGAAGGAGGATCAGGAGAAACAATTTGTGTTGAGGGGAGTGGGTAGAGGAAGTGAGAATGGAAGACGTTTCTCATAGAGCTCCATTCACAGGATGATCGTCATGGGAGGAGGAAACGGAGCGCAGGGCCTTCTGGGGATGCACATCTTCGACCTCGAGACAGAGGATGGGGAGGTCAAGGGGAGCTGGAGTATACTGCGGGCAGGATACGCACACAGCACGAGCTGCCTGACGGTGGCAAGGGAGGGGGCAGCGTGCGTGATGCACGACTCGAAGCTTTTCCTCTTTGGAGGCTTCAACGGCAGGTACCTCAACGACGTCATGATGCTCCGGCTGGAGAGAGACGCAGACTGGGCGCTGAGGTGACCCTTGCTCGACTGTGCTCGTAGGCTGAGCTTTAGCAGGGTCCAGGACGGGTCGGTGGAGGAGCTGAGGGACGCGTGCAGGTGAAGAGCGGAGGGTTCAAGTTGTTCCTGATGGTTGCGATGTGCAGACTCTTGAGGGAGGACCTTGCAAGGTAACTTGCCTCATCCTTCTTCTGCCCTTCCCGCTTCCTCTCCTCTCTCTCCCTCTCCGCCCATCCTGCCGCTCTTTTCCCCCCTCCCGCTTCCTGTTTTCCCGTGGTTCTCTGTCCATGCCTCCTGCTTGTGGATCATTGGCAATGGCAGGGAGCAGAAGGAGAAGGAGAATTTCAAGCAGGAGCTGAACCGGCTGCGGACCGAGCATGCGACGGTGTCGCCTCCCTGCCCACCCTACTTGGTCACGTGACTTCAGGTCCGCGCGATGTTGGCGCAGCTGGAGAAGATGTACTACAACTCGCCTGCAGCCACGGGCAACCCCACCCCATCTGCTGCCCTGGTGAGAGGAGGAGGAGGAGGAGGAGGAGGAGGAGGAGATCTGGTGAAGCTGAGGAGCAGCAGCGAGGAAGCCATCACAGCGAAGGATGGCTGGTGCATGCGATGCGAATCTTGACGTCGAGGTAGACGTCGCTTCTCCTTCCTCCCTCCTGACGTCACTTCAGTTGGATGGGAATGCTCTGGGGGAGCAAGGAGGTAACGTGACCGTTGTGACTATTGACGTTGCTCATTCAAGGGCAGGAAGCAAGGATTCATCCTGACAACGAAAACCAGGAATCACCTCTGGAGGTAGCTTGACATGTGCCAAATCGCGTCTTCCCATGTGTCGAAAGATCTCTACTTCATCACAACAGCTATCGGATCATCACTGAGTATTGAATCAGTAACAACGTAATGACGCTGAAGATTAATCAAGAACTATCAACTGATCTGGTCAGCCCTCTGCATCTGTACAACGATCACCATCTCTCGTTCATGGCATCGGCAGAATCGAACTGCCACAAGCACCAGCATGCCAGATGGGTGTTGACAACACCAGTGAGACGCTTCGCCCTCCCTGCACATCTTGTCCCTTCCCTGAAGGAGAAGGCAGGAAGGGAACCAAGGTCTAAGAGGTCTCAGGTCTCTGTCAGAGCTTCCTCAGACTGCTTACGAGCGCTCTCCTCTGATACGGCGGGCAAGCTGGATGTCCTTGGGGAAGATGGTCACACGCTTGGCGTGGATAGCGCACAAGTTGGTGTCCTCAAAGAGACCGACGAGGTAGGCCTCAGAAGCTTCCTGGAGGGCCATGATGGCAGAGGTCTGGAAGCGGAGATCCGACTTGAAGTCCTGAGCAATCTCGCGCACAAGACGCTGGAAGGGGAGCTTGCGGAGCAGCAGCTCGGTGGACTTCTGGTAGCGACGGATCTCACGAAGGGCGACAGTTCCGGGCCTGTAGCGATGGGGCTTCTTGACACCACCAGTGGCGGGGGCTGACTTGCGAGCAGCCTTGGTGGCGAGAGCCTTACGGGGAGCCTTGCCACCAGTGGACTTACGGGCAGTCTGCTTGGTACGAGCCATGGGAAGAGAGGAGGTGGTGGAACCAGTGCTGCCCACGGTTGAATTTAAACTGGTGGCGGGGGAGTGAGTAGGGGTGGTTTTGTAGTATGGATAGGGGGTAGTGATCGAGCTGTCGGTGACAAAGATGTAATTGGGGGTGGGGTGTGACAGTAGAAGGGTACTTCAAATGGTTTCCCGATATAGTGGGGATAAAGGGGGTACTAAAGAGCTATAAAGGAGGGGACAAGCAGGTGCCAGCGGTTTGTGGTGGGGTACTTGGAATAAGATGCTTGAGAGAGTAGTGGGGGTGGGTGGGCAGCTGTTTTTGAGGTTTGATCGGTGTTTTCCTACGTTCAAAAAAAATTTTAATAAAACAGCTTTATTAAAAATGTGCTATCAGATATAAATTATTAGTTGTGCTGGTAATATCACTACAAAATTGATATTACAATTTATCACTCATCTATCTGAGTTGTGTACTAAAATTGGATATCTTTTGGAAATGGCTCTGACAATACTCAAAAAAGTGATGGTTAAAAATAGTGGTACAAATTGTTATTAAAATTCGGAGGCGGGCTCACGAGAAGGGGGTGTGGGCATTGGGCGGATCATGCCTTGGAGGGGGGGGGGGGATGGTGAAAGCACAGCAGGAGCAGCTACTCTCTTCCTCATCGAGCATTGAGCTACTCTCTTCCTCGTCCAGCTTTCACCTACTTTCCCCCGCCCCTGAAAGCTGGATGACAAAGAGAGTAGCTCAACGCTGGATGACGAAGAGAGTAGCTCAACGCTGGATGACAAAGAGAGTAGCTCAACGCTGGATGACGAAGAGAGTAGCTCAATGCTGGATGACGAAGAGAGTAGCTCAATGCTCGATGACGAAGAGAGTAGCTCAATGCTCGATGACGAAGAGAGTAGCTCAACGCTGGATGACGAAGAGAGTAGCTGAACGCTGGATGACGAAGAGAGTAGCTGAACGCTGGATGACGCAGAGAGTAGCTCAATGCTGGATGGGGGACAAGAACAGTGTAGCTAAATGCTGGCTGACATAGGAGGGAGCATGAAAGCTTCTGTGGTCGCTGGGGAATGGCACTCGGGGAGAGGAAGGGAGTTCAGGTGAGACCTAGGATGAAACTTGCCCTTGAGATGACAAAGATCGTCGCAGAGCGAACAGGAAAGTAGCAAGGGGGGAGACCCTGTTCGAAGCCAAGCCGTTAGCGGGTGTCTTGAGTGGGTCTATAGTGCGCATAACCCCTCTTACGATGATGCCAAGGTGAAGACAAGCTCCAGACACACTGCAGCTGTTGTTATGCCCTCGTGGTAGATGAGGAGGGGAGAGTACAATGTGATGAGATGGTGGTGAGTGAACGTGCTGCTCTTATTCGATGCAGGTGAAGACTGCAACAGCCATTTGATATGTGCCGAATGCTGCAAAGCAGGAAAACGCGAGAAGGTTTGTTTCGTCCATAGTCTCCTTGTCTGCGACGACGACATCATCATCATCATCATCATCATCATCATCATCATCATCATCATCATCATCATCATCATCATCATCATCATCGCCATCATCATCATCATCATCATCATCATCATCATCATCATCATCATCATCATCATCATTGTCGTCGTAATCTTCGTCACCTTCTTGATTCTCCTCTTCCTCATGTTCATCGCCACTCCCCTACAACCTGCTCATTGCCTAGACGAATCTGATGTCTCAGCAAACTGAATATCTTTACGTAGTGATCTTTCCTTAAAACCAGTGGCATGATGGCTCGTTGCAGGCGATAGAACTGCATGTTCGCAGCGGTGAGTGTAAACTCTTGACCTTGGGAGAGTTTCAAGACACAACAGCGTGAGAGACTTGAAATTTAATTTTCGACATCCTGACGTGCCTTCCTCTGAACAACTCGTCTTGACCTACCAACCTTCTCCTCCTCGCCCCTGTCCTCCAGGAGGATTGTGCTCCGTCTCTGGGATATCAAAGTTAACCAGCGTGCCAATGCGCATACAACGTGCGTGAACATCGAAGGCTGCAGAGTTCCCACAGGGATCGAAGGGCTGGACATGCTCGAGAAGTTTTCGTCCAAGTTGCAGACGACGGAGAGGAAGGCAGACGACGAGGAGATCACTTTCGACATTCCCTCCCACAAGGAGTACGTCAAGGCCATCTTCACTTCTTTGCTCCCCGACGGCAACGCTGAGAAGTTCACGGAGGATGCGGAGGAGGTGGTCGTCAGTTGGCTGGTGCTCTCCCCCTCCCCCTCCCCCTCCCCCTTCCCCTTCCCCCTCCACTGCTTCCTCTTCCCTCACTGTGCTCCTACTGTCTCCTTACCGTCTCCTTACCCACCATGTCCCTTCCCATTCCCCTGCTGCTCGGCTTTCCTCCATATGTCCCAGCGTTTTCAACACCCAACTCAGCATCTGTGTTGTCTCTTGTTTGTACTTCACTCATGATATCTTTGCTCTTCCCTCGAAACCTGACTTTCTTTTGATCGCAACTTCTTGACCAGGATGCTCTCCGTTGCAATCAGCACTCGATTCTGAGTGACTTAGATGGTGAGGAGGAACATGTTGAGAGAAACAGAGATGAATCTATACAGGCGACATGGTCGGGAATCTGATATCGCCTGAAGGAAGGTGTGCAAAATTCACAGAGTGTGCATTTCTTGCCATGAGGAAAAACAACGATGTATGATTAGAGGACAAGAAGGAGAAAGTTTGAAGGCAGAGGAGTGGGAACAGGAAAAGGAGAACAAGGGGAGGGAGAAGAGGAGCTGAGAGACAAGCTAGGAGCGGAAAGGGGTAGGAATGGAGGGTTCGAGAGTCGGGCATGTAAGAAGAAGGATGGTGGCCAGGACAAGAAAGTGGCATGCAGGAGGAGACATCAGCACAGGTGATATGCTAACATGCTCACTGCTGCAGCTTCTTCAACCACTCATGCGAGCCCAACGTCGTCTGGGTGAGAAAGTCTTGCCTGGTTGTTGCAGGTGTGAACTTGTTGCAAAGAGCATGAAAGGGGATGAAATCCGATTTGTCGCCATCAAAGACGTAGAGGAGGGGCAGGTACGGGTGCTGGATGAGGGCTACATCAAACCACTCTGATCCCAAGTCTTTTTCTTCCCTTTCATCGTCATCCATTTCCCCCTCCACCACCACCTCCTCCTCCTCCTTCTCCACCACCTCCTCCACCACCACCTCCTTCTCCTCCTTCTCCTCCTTCTCCACCACCACCACCACCTCCTCCACCACCTCCTTCTCCTCCTTCTCCTCCTTCTCCACCACCACCACCTCCTCCTCCTCCTCCTTCTCATCGTTGTCCTTCCCCTCCTTTCTTGATCTCTCCTTCCTCTCTTCAGCTGGTCACAATCTTGTTTTTTGTGTCTCACTGCCGATGGCTGTACAGGAGCTCTGCATCTCGTACGCTGCCGAGCACACGCCCTATGTGATGCGGCAGAAGCTGTTGCGAGTGTAAGGAAACCTTTATGACTCCCTCGCTCATGCTTGCTGTTCCAGCAAGTGGAGATTCGTCTGCTCCTGCCCTCGTTGCTCGCGCCACGCCAGCCCTCCGGAAAGGTCCAAGAACTTTTCTTCCGACTATCCTCCACCTCCTCCCTTCCAGCATTCAAAGACGCCTTTTTCCTCCTCTTCCTTAGATCTTCTCTGCTTTCTAGCTCGAAATTCTCCTCCCGCTGATCCCTTGCCTGTACTGGAGGAGCTGAGCTGACGACTAGTCAGATGTTCTGTTCCTCCAGAGCTCTTCATGCATGGATCGGAGGAGGCGGAGGAGGAAAAGTCTCTTCTTCCCGATTCCAGCAGCTCCGAAAGTGCCATCCCCTCACATCTACGGCAGTACCAAGACTTCCTGCTGGATCTTACCAAGACTACCTCCTCCTCCTCCTCCTCCACTTCCTCCTCCTCCGTACATCCGTCCACCGACACTCTCCCCTGGACCCTGCGAGACCTGGGGGAGGAGCTGAACGAGGAGGTGCAGGAGCAGCTGCTGGAAGGCAAAGAGATCACGCCTGCTGTCTTGCTCGATGCTCTCGGAGCCCGTGCGCGGCTGGCAGGAGAGGAGGGGCTGGGGAAGACGCACTGGTCCGTCCTACGTCTATACGCTGCAGCTGCTCAACTCCTGCTGGCACTGCAGGATGCAGTCAGCGCCGCTCGCTGCTTTCGCTTCCTCCTCCTTCACTCCGCCGACATCCACGAGCTCGGGCTCGAGCACAGATACAGGGCAAAGTTGGGGCTGGCTCTACATGCGGCAGCTGTGAAGATCGAGGAGGAGGAGGAGGAGGAGGAGGAGGAGGAGGAGGGGGAAGTGGTTCAGGCAGGGGCGACGGCG